TGGAGGCCATCGCTAGTAGGTTGGAGGCCATCACTTAGTTTGGAGGCCATCGCTAGTAGGTTGGAGGCCATCACTTCTAGGTTGGAGGCCATCGCTAGTAGGTTGGAGGCCATCACTTCTAGGTTGGAGGCCATCGCTAGTAGGTTGGAGGCCATCACTTCCAGGTTGGAGGCCATCGCTAGTAGGTTGGAGGCCATTGCACTTAGGTTCCTTTTGCTAGTTTGGAGGCAAACCTTCAATACCCTCGGGTCCCAACCTTCGGGAGACATCACAACGGTCACCGCCATCACAACGGGTCGACCGGTCACGTGAGACGTGAGACGTCACGACTCAAAGCTCAATGTCACTGAGGCCCGTGGCATAGGAACCGAAGCCAAACCTGCGGAATGGTCCAAAGCGGCGGAAAAGCGGGGAACGCAGCGGCATGTCGACATCAGCCGTTTCAGGAGCCCGAACGAAGGGATTGGTGGCGGCTGACGACGAGAGTTCAGGGGGAACTCAGAAGAGCTGAAAAGGCCATGATGAACAAATAAGAACAAATATAAGCACAATCACCAGATCCACCATGCCCATTGGGATCTCCTCAACATTTTGTGACAATCCTTCTCAGTTGGCTTGTTTCAGAACACTCGTATTCCACAGCCTCGGAAACTTTTGGATGTTACACGTGGGATGTCGCACCAATCGTCAAGGGTGATCACACTAAGGTCTTTCTGATCTTTAGATGTCATCAGAAAGTCTCAATGTGTCCACCAGAAAATGTTGAGATTTATCCAAACGACTCATCAAAGCATTCATCCTCATCATCCTCCCTACCCAAACTAAAACAAGAAGCTACTAGGAACACAGGGCATCGCTACGAACGGAGCGATCGGACGCTACGATCGGGGCTCCTGGCCATACTAGGAACAAGGACGCTACGAAGGGAGCAAATAGCCAATATCTGTTTGAATTCTTTGGAGTAGTAACAAGTGCCTCGCTAGTAGTAACAAGTGCCTTACTAGTAGTAACAAGAAGCTATTAATTTAGATTTAACTATTAATTCTAATAGCTTTTTGTTCCTACTAGTAAGGCACTTGTTACTACTAGCGAGTCTGTTTGGGGGTTTCACCTTATCAGACGGACTCCGCGTCTCGACCGTTCCAAGGAGCCGCCCCTTTCGGCTGTAGGCCAGGCCGTTGGGTGCCAAGGGCGCCAACGGCCCCGGGCGGCGCTTCAGCTGGGGAGAACTCTGGGAGACCATCAACCTGCAAGGGGAGAACATCACTCTGCATCAAGGGGTGTCTTTCTTTTCTCGTATGCTGAGTGCTCGAAGCTCTGTGTCTTGCAGAAAGACATGCTAGAATTAGCTATTGGGTTGAAAAAAGCCAAGCAAAGCCAAGAAAGTCAAAGTGAAGGAGATTGAACAAGTTTTCGGGTGCAGTGACGTTTGAAGTTTCTCGTCATTCGGTAAGAAGTGTGATACGGGGATGGTGATGTGGTACTTAGAACTTAGAACAGGGAAAAATGTGTGTATCAGTTTGGAAACAGTGAACCCACTTCTTTGGAGAATGTTCTTGGCATCTCAACGCTTTAGAAAGAAACCTAGTGTGTTGGGGCCATCCCAAGATTCAGACCAAGAAGTCCGAGCTTGAACAGACCAGATCAGACAGATCAGGAACACTTGCTGCATTTCCATCATTTGCTGTGTCTCCTTCCGACTGCCTAAGGTCGACTGAACCCCTTCAAACTGCTTGCCGAGGCCGGTTCGGGCCAAAACCTGCCCTCCTCAAGGCCCCACATCCTCTTTCGCGTGGCTGTCTTCGACGCTTCTTGGCCTGCCTCGGCACCGAGAGGGGCGGCGCATCCTCAGGGCTCTTCGCAGCATCCAGCGGAGCTTTGGGCGGTTGGAAGGTTGTGGTGACGCGCTGCAGGAACTCCAGCTCCTGGACTGGTGGTCGCACGACGCGCCAAGCGTGCGTAACACCGGTGCTCCAAAAAGCGTCCACAGAGCGAACCATGCCAGGTCGCAGATGCAAGCATGTTCATGCTGCATGATGCTGCATGAAAGTTCTTGAGTCTTAGTGTCTTTATAGCCCGGGTGTTGAGACGTTGACGCAGAGTCTACATCACACCGTTGGCAGGGATTGGCCTATGGTTGTGGGATGAGGCTATCAACAGTATTTGTCTTGTTGGGATGTAGCTGGAGGTTTTGTTTTTGGGTGTCCACAAATAAGAGGGTACTGAAGCTGTATACCCCGACCAAGAATCACATCGGACCCCAATCCAACTGGTTTGCAAAGGCAATTCGCTTGATTCGTCTTTCAGAAGATGGTTTTCAAGTTCACAAACAAACGGTACTGCATGGTACTATACCATCGTTCCAACCTGTGGGGGTCACCTGCTTCGACCTCGTATCCCGAGTGTTCTGCCGAGGTGCGCTCAAAGGCCCTGCTTGGGACATCCGCCGGAGGACGTTCCAGCCAACCTCATGATCCTCTGGGACGAGGAATAAGTTTTTCCTCAGATGAAAGATGCTTGTGACAAGCGGGACTTGCCGCGGAAACCTCTTCATGTTTCCTTCTCAAAGGTGATCTGGAGGTTAGGGGCAAGCATTCCTGGAAATGAAGAATCCCAGTTGAAGCAACAATGATACTTTTTGCCAGCAATTAAATGATTGAAACACCCCTAACATTGAATGGCCCCAGCTCTAGAGACCAACAAACTAGAACCCTAACAGCAAATTGTTTCTTGGAAAAAAAACAAACACACAAAAGAGATGGATCCTTGGACAAGAACAAAAAATTAGCTCATATCATTTGCATACCTTTTCATAATTGTGTTTGTCATATCTTCATAGTTTTTCATAGAGCTAGACTTTATGAGCATCTTATTGAACATTTTTTTGACAAAAAAGGTTACACAGTTACACACGATTAAAAGTACGTTATATATGAGAGTCACAGGGAGATCCACGGGGAGACCTCCCAAACAACGCATTTGGATACGCTTTCCTTCCACCGACCGTCGGAGGGAACAGCACGGACGACCCCCGTTCCAACACACCGAGACGCACCTCGGGCGGGCATTGTGGAGCACGGAAGATGGACTCCAAGTCCTGCCGTTGCTTTGGTTCGGGACAAGATCACAGGTGTTCGGCGGAGGTGACAGCCTGTGGTTTGGGGCCCAGCTGGTGAGCTGAATTTGGAGGGTGAGGATCGAAGCGAATTTGGCCCGGCGGAGACCCTTTTCACATGCGACATGCTTACTCCCAAAAGTAACTCCAGTTTGTTTGTGTCTGGAACTTGGAAGAGAAAAGATGAAGGATAACACCAACCCTAGGAATCTGGTCCTCCCTGCGAAGCAACTTCGGGTCCCCGATAAGTCTGGGCACACAAATCAACTGACTGGTGCATAGTAGAGAATGACCCCAAGAGATACCTTCGGATTCATTCCACTATTCCCTTATAAAGCAGTGCAGTCAATAAATATCAATAAATACCACAGCCGAAAGGACCGAAAGAACCTCCCAATGGTGTGGAAATCCCTATCAACATCCACCAACCCACCGGAACATTCTCCAACCTCCAACGAAAAACACCCTGGTGGCTGCAAACCCCCAGTGGCAGCCCGCTCCGTGGCGCTCAACTCGCCCAGCGCGGCGACCGCGCGACAGCCGCTGGAGCTCTGGGCAAAAGCCTCAGGTGCACACCTGGGGCGACCGCGGCGAGGAACAAGAAGCTACTAGGAACAAAGCGCATCGCTACTAGGAGCAAGAAAACTACTAGTTACTAGTAGCTCCTGGCCTTACTATTAGGAACAAGCTACTAGTGACTTCTTGAGGTGCCAGTCGCGGCTCATCTGAAGCGATGAAGGGATGAACTGAAGGTGTTCAGTTCCACCGTTGGAGCTGATGACAGCTCGGTTGATTTAGGATCCAAGAGAGGTCTAGACCTGATTGCGGGGCTCCGTGGGGGGAGTGCAACGGGGCCTGAACTATCAAAAACTACCTAATAAAACAACACTAAATGGCATTAAATGGCACAAGAAAGGGGTATAGAAATGATCAGAACAATGTAACACACAAACATAATAAAAAAAAAATCATAACAAAAAAAGGAGACCGGGAACCACCAAAGAGGAACAAAGACTGCCCTTGACCACCAGGGTCTCACTAATCCCAAACTCTCTCACTCACTCCCTGCCTCACGACTGAGAGCTCTCCACGTAGGCTTTCGACGCCGCGTTGTGCGTGGTCTCTTGCACCGCCCCAGGTATTGCACAGGATCTGCACCAAGGCCTACGTGAGGAAGAGGGTTTCCCACCCCATGGGGTGGGATTTTGGCCCACTTATGCAAAGATCCATCCCGATTAGGTTGGAGGCCATCCCTATCAAGTATCAGGCTGGAAGCCATCGCTTCTAGGTTGGAGGCCATTGCTTCTAGGTTGGAGACCATCATTATTAGGTTGCAGGCCATTGCCATTAGGTTGGAGGCCATTGCTATTCCAATACAACTTGTGGAAATAGTATGGAATAATGGTTTGTCGACTTATGGTGTGAGACCTGTCGGGCGGGTCTATCCTTTTACCAGTAACAGTGGATGATGATGGTTAGCATCCATTCCTCTAAGCGGCGAGCACAGCAGTGCCAAGCACACTGCTCCAAGCGCACCCCCTTAAAAAATATGCCAAAAGCAGCGACTGGAACTCCTGTGTTCCAAAAAAACTTCATCAGCTTCTTGTACTGACTGTGTTCTTCAGATCTAAACGATGATGAACAGTAGCTTGGGGTATGGCGTCTGGGAGGTTGTGAGCGAACATCGATGCCACAAACGCCCAGTTCCATGAGCTTTCAACATCGTTCGTGTGATATATATGATTCCACTGTTACTGTTGTGAGGCACTAGGTGTACATTGGGTTACAAGATGTTGCAATTTCAATTGACAAAGGTTTTTGGGCAAACCCACGAGGGCCACCGTGACGGGTGTATATTTGGGACGTTCATCTGGGGCTTCCTCCCGCAGCAACTGAGCAGTTGCTGGACGGTCTCTGGTTAAACATCTGTCACCATTTGCAATCATCTGGAGGCTTCTTGCACCCAGTGGAGAGAAAAAAAATGAGACAAGCGGGATGCCGTGGCCTCAGGATGGGGTGAGCAATTTCTTCTGCTCAGCCACGTAGGACAACACATGCAGTCACTGCCAAGGCTGGGGTGGTCTCAAGTGGGGCTGAGAGGGTGCGCCGCTACCTTTGAGTTTCTCCAGGTGACTAAGGTTTTTTATTTTACCCTAGAATCCACTGAGACTCCCACTGAGATCAAATTAATCTAAACAAACAAACCTGACCAAGACCTAAATTGATCGAGTATGAAGTGGGTGATGCGAACAAATCTGTCAATCGGAACCCTTTGAACCACGCGTGGCCATGGCCCACCTGCTGACAAATGTCCTCCACATCATCCACCACACTGCCTTGGAGGCAACCCATGTGGGCACTGAATGGGAACATCACGTCTGAGTTTGAGTTCATCAGGATTTGCTCCAGATAACTGAGGAAACGGTCTAATTATATACATGCAACAATCCTACTTGTGAATTTGATGGAAGTTCACCATGAACCCTTCGAAGTGACCAGCAAGCAGTCCGATCCGGCGGCATTCGAAGCATTCGACAACACGCCAAACAAAATGTTTGGCTCAAGGGACGAGCGGACTCAGGCGGTGGAGGAAGAAACAGCGTGGACGCTGTTGGGACCTTTTTGGTTTTGGTTTGAGGTTTGTAGGAGGTTTGGTGCTACCTTTGTGACTTCACTGAAGTCACATTGGTAGCGGAGCCTAAAGTGGCTTCTGTAGGACAGAACAAGCCATGGAGGGTTCTGGGTCATCGACAGATGACAAAAGTTCAGGTATCTGGAGTTTGCTGCCGTCGTTCGATCCTAGCACCGACAATGCTCGTGAGTATTTGGCCAAGGTCAAGTTTCTGGACGGCATTTGTCCCAAGAAGGACAGACCGATGTTGGCGCCCAGGCTGGCAATGCTTTGTAAGGGGACTGCATGGCATCAAGTCCGGGCCCTTGCTCCAGAGTTGTTGACAGATCCCACCAACGGGATAAAGCACTACCTAGCTGCCCTCGAAAGCTGGGAAGAGAGTTCAGAGCTTCGAACGTTTGAACTATTTGATCGTGCAATTTACAAGACTGTTCAGAAGCCGGACGAATCCACGCAGAGCTATGTGAACAGGTTGATGGTGGCTTTCGATGAGGTTGGAACGGATACCACTCTGAAGTCAGTCATTGCATTCATCCTTCTCAAGCAGAGCAGTTTGAACCATGAAGATAAGAAGAAGGTCTTGACGATGACCAATGGGGTCCTTGAGAAGACTGCACTTGAAGGAGCAATGAGGTCATTGTCTACGAACGTTTTGACTGGTTCAGGAACAGTTGAAAAGAAAAATATTTACCCCACCAACCTCATTGAGCCCGATGAGACAGAATTCAACAAAGACATCAACCACACCTATGCAAGTCATGAAGACGATGAAGAGTTGACCTATGACACCATCGAAGCAATGGCTTCGTGGGGGGATGCCGATGCCCTCACCGTCCAGACTTTTGAGAAAGATTTGGAGGAATTGATGCAAGAAGTTCCAGATCTTCATACAGCTTTGGTCTCATACCATGAAGCTCGTGCCAGGATCAATGAGCGCAAACGAAACCGTGGTTTCTGGCCCGCTGGACAGAAGGGATCTGGAAAGGGATTCAAGTCTGGATTTCAAAGCAGTGGTTCAAAAGGTTTTCGCAAAGGCAATTCAAAAGGAAAAGATGAACTACTTCAGCGTATTGCCAGAACGCACTGCAAGAAGTGTGGCGAACTAGGCCACTGGAAGGCCGAGTGTCCCAACAAGGCCAAGGATTCAGTGAACATCGTGACTCAAGAGGCCTTCGATGAGACCGATCAGGTGGTTTTCGAGACCTTGAGCCTGACCGAGATCGAAGAGGTTCGCATGGATGAAAGAGTTGAAGGGTTCACCAATGAAAGCAAGTGTTTCCACATCGAGCATGCCTTCGTAGGAATTCATCAAGAGCTTAATTCAATCGATCCTAAGGGAGACATCCAAATTAAAATGCAGCAGTTTTTTGCAAGTCGGTCAAAGTCTGTGCATTTTGCCAGGCAGAGAGAGCAGAGCACCCAGAACCCGATCCTGAAGGATCAAATCCGCCTGTTTCCAAGCTGTACCAGTAAGACTGGTCAAGAAGCCTTCAACACCCAAGGCTATGCAATAGTTGACACCGGAGCCAGCCGAAGTGTCATAGGATCTGAGAACCTTCCTCAGATGATGCAGTTGTTGGACCCCGCCACTCGAGCCCGCACCAAGGAAAAGGCAAGCTGCATAGGATTTCGTTTCGGGAACAACCAGATTGAGTACAGTTTTAAGCAAGTATGGATCCCCATCAGGAATGGAGCACAGCAGATTTGGTTGGTGATTGAAGTGGTTCCCAAGAGCACCCCATTCTTGTTGTCCATTCAGACCATGCGAAAACTCGGAGCCGTTCTCGATTTGCAGCAGGGAACCTGTTTTTTGCAAACATTAGGTAAGGCCATTCCATTGAAGCAAGGCACCACAGGTCTTTTGATGATCAACTTAGCCGATCTTTGTCAGAAGCCAACCAAAGCCACATTCGTTGCTTCATCCAGTGAAAAGCCAGCAGCCAGTGTCGTGTCAAGAGTCGTTGATCAGCCGGAGCTGAAGTTCCCACCAGCCATGCCGACCCGCCAGGAAGTCATGGAAATGATCAGAGAGACGGCAGATGCAGTGATGCAATTGCTGAAACTCTTGTTGACCATGCTCATGAACCAGGTCCAGAGACAGGTGGAAGTGACTGCCGATCAACTCGTGCCGAACGAACATGCCTTACAGCTGCAACACCTGATGCAGGAGGTCCAGTGCCAAAAGACCATGTTGCAGGAGATTGCGAACAACCTGAAGACATCAGGAACCCCATCCACCTCGGGGACTCATCGTTTGACAGAATGGGTCGACATCGAGGAAAGAGAGATCCATCGCTGGGAAGACGAAATGACGATGATGAGCGAATCGGCCAAGGTGCCTATGCCGACGAGTCCAACTCGTCCCAAGTCGGCACCTCAACCGGCAAGTCCAACGACACCAAAGACAGCAAGTTCCGCAATGTTGCCTGGACCAAGTGGAGCCCGATCCCGTCAGACAGAAGCACCCATGTTGAGTGGACCCATTCTGGCCCGCGGAGGAGCTCGCCGATCAGACGAAGGGGTGACGGAGACCGAATTCAGTGCCCCACACGGCAGGGATCTTGCTTGGACCCAGGATGCTATGACATCTTGGGGACGCAAAGTCATCAACTGGGGAAAGAAGCACCCTGGCAAGATGTACTACCAAGTGTACGAAACAGACGACCAGTACACAAGCTGGTGTTTGTCCCGCCTGAACAGCCTCGGAATGCCAGTGCTAGATTATGCCAAGTACTGTCAAGTCCGCAGGCAGATGGAAGCACAGCTCCAAGGTCTTTGATCCATCTAGCAACACAGGTGTCTAATCCTCTAGAAGTCAAATGGTTGAGAGCTTTAAGGAAAGAAATGGAGGAAAACATTCATGGACCTGAAATTGACCTGTTGGAAGTGTATGCACAACCAAATAGTCGACTAGCTGAAGAGATCATTAGACAAGGGGGAAAAGCCAAGAGGTTCACACAGGAACACGGAGACTTGTCAAACTTTCAAGGGCAATTGGAGTTGCTTCGAACAATAATTCGATCAAGACCAAAACATATTTGGGTTGCACCTGAATGCGCGCCGTGGTGTGCTTGGAATCGGTTTAATGCAAGGAGAAGCCTTCATGCATTCAAAACCATCCAGTCAATGCAAAACCACTCACGAGAGCATTTGAAGCTGTGCGCATTCATTTGCAAAATCCAGATTGAAGGCGGAAGACATTTTACAATGGAAAACCCAGGTGCATCCGGAGCATGGTCACAGCCAGAAACAAAGGAAATCCTTCAACTCACGAAGAGTGTTGAATTCGACCAATGTCAGTTTGGGTTGAGACATCCACAAAATCATGATCCCATGAAAAAGGCAACAAGGTTACAGACGACCTCTCGTGAAATAGTTAGGAACATGGATGGGAGAACATGCCACGGGGAACATGTCCATCACCCCATTGCAGGAAGTTGTCAATTCCAAGGAAAGACATTCGCACTGTCTCGATTTGCTGCTTTCTACCCACACATGTTAGCAAGAAAAGCCGCAAAAGGGATTCTTTCAGAGAATCAACATCCCGATTGTCCAATCATTGATGCAGCTACTGCCATTGAGATGTTATGCCCAGTCCGAGCAGCTGTAGACCCACCTGAGGATGAACCTGAAGCTAAGAAGAAGAAGCGAACTGAGGGCCCATCGGAAGACCCAAATGCTCGCAAGAGGGAATTGGAGACGTATGAACCATATACAGTTTTGTCCGGACAATCATGGACTGACGTCATGAACAGACTTCAGAGCCTTTTGCCCAAATCCGGAGCACAGAGCATTGATTTGGAAACTTGGCCAGGTAATTTCCTCGTCCAGCATTGTCAGATCCAGAAGGTCAAAGAAATCAAAGCCATCAAGGGTGTTGAGAAGTTCATGATTGGAAACCACGCACACCCATACAGGCAGACCATTAGCCTTTGCAGAAAGACCCAAAGAATCATTGATCTTGGAATCGAAGAGTGGACAAAGATGACCCAATTGCAACAACGTCGTAAAGCCATTCCAAGTCATATCATGATAGGCATTGTTGGGGAAAATCCAAATGAACTAGATGAGGACCAAGCCAAGTCCGAGTCTGTGCCGAAGTCAGATCAAGCCGCAAAGTCCAAGAGCCAGTCAAGCCTGGGAGAGAAAATCTCTCCACCAATTCGTGCTGAAGCCTCAGGAGAGACATCCTTAAGTGAGAACAAGGAAGAGGTTTCACAAACTAAGACAGCTGAAAGCCTAGCACCTGTACCCTCCTGGATGCCAGTCTCGACCATCAATTCCGGTCCGAAGTTTTTAGAACTCAATAGTAAGCAACAATCCATGATTCGCAAGATGCACAACAATCTTGGACATCCTGTTTCCGAACATTTGAGTGAACACTTAAGTAGACTGGGTTTCACTGAACGAATGATTGAAGGAGCCAAAGACTACCAATGCCAATCATGTGCCGAAAGAGTTCCACCCAAGTTGACTACTCCCGGCAAGCTCAAAGAACCAAGGGAATTTAACGAAAGACTTGCTCTAGATGGATTCGAATGGAAAGGGGAAAAAGGGCACAAATATTATGTGTTGCACTTTTTCGATGAAGCCACTCATTTTCATCTTGGAAGACGAAGCCAAAGAACCGCAGAAAGTACGATAAAGACCATGAATGAAACTTGGATTCATTGGGCTGGATCACCCCAAGAAATTCAACATGATGAAGCAGGGGAGTTTGTCAGTCAACCATGGAAAGATTTCCTACAACAAGAAGGGATACGATCATTAGTCAGTGCTGCACCCTGGCAGAGAGGTCGGATTGAGAGGCATGGAGGAGTGATTAAAGAAATGCTAAGTCGAATAGATAAAGAACAACCAATAGCCAACGAAAAGCAGTTCGACATGGCCTTGAGTCAATGCTTCCAAGCCAAAAATAGTCTGACCATCGTAAAAGGGTATAGTCCAGAGCAAGCCGTTTTGGGAAGATCACGCAGACTGCCTGCTTCCATTTGTGGAGATGAAGATTTCACAGCACATTCGTTAGATCAACCAACGGATACTAGATCAGAGGACTTCTTGCAAAAGATGGAAATCAGGACACTTGCCCGGAAAGCTCTCCTGGACGCTGACAACAGTCAAGCAATTCGTCGTGCCTTGAACCATCAATAAAGAGGACAAGAACATCCATGGAGATGTGGGGAGCTGTGCATGATATGGGACAAAAGAAAATCCCCAAACATGCTTGAAAAGGGACGATGGACTGGACCATGTCAGATTGTAATGGAGGAAAGCAGGACAATCGTTTGGGTGACACAAATGAACCGACTGTTGCGTGTTGCAAAAGAAAATATTCGACCCGTCTCGATTCGTGAATTCAATAGAGTTGCCACTTTTCATCAGAGTTGTGAAGAAACGAAACTCCAAGCCATGGCAGAACAATTGAAGAAGCAATTGAAAGAACGAAGTGGAATGTTTCAATTCTCTGATTTGACAGAAGTGGAACCACCTCAACAACCAGTGGAAACCAATGGACCACAACCAGAAGAAGAACCTCACCGAAGGGATTCAGAAGCCGATGTTCCCACAATAGAGCCAGCCAGCGTGATTCCCGACCCAAGTGATTTGCCAGATGCAGAACATGCAGCAGAGTCCGATGAGCCTCTAAGGAGTGATCCTAATGGGGAAGAGGATCCGAATGGAGCTAGGGGGGAAACCAATGAATCAGGTGTGGATTCAATTGATTTCATGGATGAAGTTTACAATGTCAGCATTGTTGAAGCTAACGATACAAACGCAGTCACAGTGCCGGATAATGGAACATTGTGGCCGTGCATCGAAAACATTCCGATAGAGAATGCCAATTTTTGCATGTTTGAATTTGATGTTCCCGCCAAATACCTGTCCGCATTTTGCACAGATCCCTGTTTGCATGCCGAGCAGATGGTCCAGGCAGCAAAGAAGAATCATGTGGAAGTAGTGTATAAACACTTGAGCCCAACCGAGAAAGAAGAATTCGACCAGGCGAAAGGCAAGGAACTTGGATGCTGGATAGAAACCTCCTCAATTGAACCAATCTTGAGAGATAAAATACATCCTTCCAGGATAATGTCTTCTCGATGGATACTAACATGGAAGGTTGACCCCAGTTCACCCCAAGGTAGAAAAGCCAAAGCCAGACTAGTGGTTAGAGGATTTGAGGACCCTGATGCAGCATCAGTGAGCACCGAATCACCAACATTGTCTCGAGATGGCCGCATGATAATCCTCCAAGAAGTCAGCAGCAGAGGATGGAGATTGCAAAGTTTCGACATCAAAACTGCATTCTTACGTGGAAGATCCGATGACCGAGTTCTCGCAATGCAGCCAGTTGTGGAATTGCAAAAACTACTTCACCTCAAGTCCAATGAAGTCTGCCTCTTGAAAGGTAATGCTTACGGACGAGTGGATGCACCCCTCTTGTTTTACAAAGAGTTCAGAAAGAATCTTGAAGCCGAGGGATTCCAAGCCCACCCACTGGATGCATGTCTGTTCATCCTTCGTAATTCCCATGAACCAGAGAAACTTGAAGGAGTGTTAGGAACTCATGTTGATGACGGAATTGGAGGAGGAACAGCAGTGTTTGAAAGGGCACTGGAAAGAATCCAAAAGAAGCTGCCATTTGGACAAAGATAATATAAGAAGTTTCGGTTCACAGGTCTTGACAATGAACAAAATCCAGATAACTCAATTCGAATAAGTCAAACCGATTATATCCAGAAGATTGATTCCATTGATGTGCCGAAACCTCGTCGAAAAGATGAGAAATCTGCAGTCACAGCACCTGAGCTACAACAGTTGAGAGCTCTTTGCGGAAGTTTACAATATGCTGCAGTGCATTCGAGGCCAGATCTTGCAGCCAAGGTGGCATTTCTCCAAAAGAAAATCCCAAATGCTTGTGTTTCAGATTTAATGGAAGGAAACAAGATACTGAGAGAAGCCAAGAACACAGCCGAAACATCGATCTTGATCCAACCAATTCCAATTAATCAGATAACCTTCGCAAGTTTTGGAGATGCAAGTTTTGCTTCGGAAAGCCAAATGAAAGCCCAACAAGGACTGTTCGTCATGGCCACGACAAAGAAACTTGGACAGAACGAGACCTCCGAGTTTTCTCCTTTAGCATGGGGTTCCAAACAAATTGCACGGGTAGTTCGGTCCACCTTAAGTGCTGAAGCCTATGCCATGTCGAGCTCATTGGACAAATTAACATGGATTAGATGCCTATGGGGTTTCGTGAATGACCCAAAATTTCAATGGCAGAAACCCGAGAAGGCCCTCCAGAGTCATCCAAAAGCCCTCCTGATTACTGATTGCAAATCTCTCTATGATTTGGTAACCAAATTAGCCATCCCGAACTGTCAAGAATGGAGGACCACGATAGAGGTGATGCAGATTAAGGAGCAGTCAGAGGGAAATGCTCAATGCCGGCTATCATGTTAGCAGACTGCTTAACAAAACCAATGGATGCAAGTTTCTTACGAAAAGTTCTGGCCATCGGACGCTTTCGAATTTTCGATGAAACGAAGACCCTTAAGACGAACGCCAACAGGAAGTTCGGTGAACGATGGGCTGAAGGATTTAGAAACCTAGCAACCGATTCACTTCGAAAAGAAAAACAGAACGTGTGTGAATTTGATGGAAGTTCACCATGAACCCTTCGAAGTGACCAGCAAGCAGTCCGATCCGGCGGCATTCGAAGCATTCGACAACACGCCAAACAAAATGTTTGGCTCAAGGGACGAGCGGACTCAGGCGGTGGAGGAAGAAACAGCGTGGACGCTGTTGGGACCTTTTTGGTTTTGGTTTGAGGTTTGTAGGAGGTTTGGTGCTACCTTTGTGACTTCACTGAAGTCACACCTACTACAGTATATAATTGAACTGTCACTTGCTCATCTTGACGCTTTGCCTCATACGAGAAAATGCTGCTGTGCATTTCCGAGGCTAGCTAGGTAGTCTTCAGAGATATCAGGGAAAGCAAACAAATCCTCGAAGCAACCGAGCGTGGGGCAAAGCATTTCGTTGCTGAAGATTTGGAATGCTCAAACACTTTGAAATCAACGAGTATATATACACTGGACAAGCCTAGTGGCTTTTGACCTAGGGTTCTCGAAGGATGCCGTGTACTTGGTGAAAGTCTGACGTTTGTGGAAGATCTTGGTGAGCAAGTGACAAAATGATCATTTTAGAGCGTTCCATCTTTATAGAGATGTATAGAAACCTACAAACATTAGCAAATAGTATCGCAAAGACCCAACCATCTTCAACAACCACATGTTACTCATGTCAGAAACTGCATCGATCACAGCAACGTTTTTGTGTCTTTCTTCGGTGCCCAGCTGCCCCCAGGCAGCTCCTCGCTGGGCCCCGTCGCCAACTCCGCAGCCGGCGCGGCCGGCACGGCCGGCGCCCGGTGGGCGCCGCGGGCGCGGGCGCCGCGCTCGGAGGCGCGCAGGTAGAGCGCCAGCTGCTGGCGGAAGATCTGGAGGACACCTGTTGCTCAGCGATTGCTGTTGGATGAGGATGATCGCGACCATCATGGAGGGAAGAAACCCGAGTGACCGATTGTGTGAAGAAAAAAGGTCTTGCGAGCGCATATCTAAGTGCTGCTTGGAGAAAGAATGTCTGCGATGTGACATCATTTCTGGCCTGCGATGGCCGACTGCTGCCGGTTCTCCAATTTGCGCCGAGCACCATCACTCAGCTGATGGCAGGTGTTGAGCAAGCGCACTATATACCTGGGTTGATCAACTGAATTGAATTGAGGGGACCTCTCACAGTCCTCCCAGTTCATCAGATCCTCCAACATACTTTGCACTCCGCTAGACCGCTAGACTCCTTTGTGGCCCTGATCTAACCATCATTCATTCTTGTTCTGATTTTCCTCAGTGGGATCCAACGATCTTCTTTTGATACCCGGACCCTGCTAGACGGAAGCCGTGGGGTATCCATCCACTGCCTCGAACGGGAGGACATCTTCAGACGGCGACCAGTAAAACACGGTTTAAAATAGCTTCTAGGTTGGAGGCCATCGTTAGTAGGGTGGAGGCCATCGCGCTAGTAGGGTGCAGGCCATCGGTAGAGGGTGCAGGCCATCGCTAGTAGGTTGGAGGCCATCGGTCTTGGTTCCACCGCAAGTTTGCCTTGCTAAAGTTCCAGCCTTTCTTATGTCAGCAGCATGCCTCCACCTCTCCCATCAGCTAGATGCCCCTCCCTGCCCCTCGTTCACACAAGAAGTGGTCCTAAACGATCGCAAGGTCGAAGCAAGATCCTAAGCAAATTCTATCTTTCTTTCGAGTGATTTTCCCTCACTTCATTCGCAAACGGGAGTGTCTCACAAAGCATCGTACAAAGTATACACAATTCAATTCTATCTCATCCAAAGCGGCTCTGCAGCTCTTTGAGCCGTCCCGCAATGTTGTGAATCCAAAAAATCTCAACAAGGTCAAGGTCAACAGAAGAGCTCAGGTGAGATCTTTGCTTGTCTATAGTCCGTTTCATAGTCTTGACATTTGAGAAGGACGTGGACAAGCAATGACAAGCAGAAAGGTCAGGATCGAGAACCAGCAATTCGGCTGACGAATGACCAAACAAAACATCAATGATCATCCATGACATTCAATGAACATCACCACCTGATTCCTTCATTGGTACAAGATGGTACAAGACTTTCATGGTTCTTGTGGTCTTGTCTTCACACCCACCCAACCACCCAGGTCACCGGACCAAGGAGATGGACTGCCCGAAGAATTCTCCGAGAAAAAACGCCGCGTCCGGTCACCGTGGGGAACCCCGTGCGCCGGGAAGCTCCATGAGCAAGAGCTGCGAACTCATCTTCGTCCCCAAGACCTCGCCGAAGGGATCGGACTGGATCGGAAGGAGAAGGAGGGGTGACAGGTGACACATCGTTACACCCAGGGGTAGTAGCTAGAAGCTATTAGTAACAGGTGCATCGCTAGTAGTAACAAGTGCCTTATTAGTAGTAACAAGAACGCTACTAGGAACAAGTGCATCGCTACTAGGTTCCTTTGACTTTGGGTGCTAACGTGGTGACACGGAGTATCACATAAAGCCAAAATCCTGGGAGCTACGTCGAGCTACGACGTCGACGTTTCCACGACTGCTGCAGAAGTCCTGCACCAACTGGGATGAATCAAATCCAGCGAAATCTGAGGGTGTTCCCCGCAGCACTTGCAGAGTGGAATGATCTTCGAAGGGTTCATTTTCCATTTGAACGGATGGTGCATATTTTTGAGGATTGGTGCTCTTTTCCTTTCGGCGATCTAGTCAATCTGGTACTGCACTACTAAACACAGAAGCGAGAAGAAGAACAAGATAATAATCACTTACAATAACAAAAAAATCATAGGGTGGACATCTGGCATCATCCAATTCTTGTAGAAATCATGGACTTGGATGCTCACCGAGTTTCGGATTCTTTTAAGGGGCCACACCGGGTTTGAACTGAATCCGATGAATGCTGACTTGGTCTCGTGCTGTATGTTAGAAACATGCCACATGAATCCAACACAAGAGATGGATCAATGCCTCACGTCCACCTCAGAGACATTGTGACACATCGGTGAAGTAGTACAGTATATATAGCTTCTATAGCTACTATAGTAGCGATGCACTTGTTCCTTGTAGTAGTGCCCTTGTTCCTGACGGAAAAAACACATAAAAAAACACGCCATTCCAGGGCACTTTGAGCGTCTGCAAGGCTTCCTCCACCATCTGCAGGTTCCCTTCCTGCGCCACCTTCGGCACTGGCTCCGGCTCCGGTGCGGAGATGAGCTCGGCCTCGGGAGGCGGTGGTTCCTTGTCCTGGCGTGCAGGCGCCGAAGCTGCTTCAAGGTGAGAACACCCTTCTGCGTGTTTGGCAAGAGCACACTGAAGCGTTTGGGAAGGCATCAAATGTCCCAAACACAAGCAGCTAGCACAAAACGTGACAGGCTAAAAACAGCGCAGCTACAGGAAAGTGCAGCTGCAACTGCCAAGCTAAGAGATGTGCTAGAAGTGGCTGGGAGGCCTCCAAGACATGTCCATCAGTGATACTCCACTCCAGTGGGTGTGAACAAAGGACTGGTTAACTGCACAGAGGGCCATACTATCACAACGATCCATCAGGACTTTGCGAAAAAACACTGAAAGACTAGAGTCAGCTTCAACATATTTAAACAGTATATGGTTGGAGTCGGAGCGATCTATAGCAGAAACCAAGAAAATAGAAACTTTTTATACAGAAGTTGTCGTTTGTATTTTTTAAAACCAGTTTCCAATGAATCAACAGTTTAACCATGTGCAAAAGAAGATTGCACCAAAACTCCATCGCCAATCTCAATTCCGTGCCCCCAGAAAATTCTCCAGCCACCTGCTGTTCTGCCTCTCAGCAACCACAAGTTTGGTCTCTCTGTCCACGCCTCGAGCTCGGGTTCGTCGCAGAGCGGCATCTGCTGCGCGAAGAGCACCGCCGTCAACAGCTGATTCCGGAACTCGTCCTGAAGGGTCCAGATTTAGGTGCTTGGAGGCTGGAGGCCATTGCTACCAGGTTGGAGGCCATCGCTAGTAGGTTGGAGGCCGTCGCTAAAGGTTTGGAGGCCATCACTCTTAA